AGCCATGCTTACAAGATCTCGTGAAGATTGCTCGCCTGAGGATTGTACTCTCACAGAAGAAGAAAGGTGGGAAAAAGAGCAAGCCAGACTTGTTCCTCTAATGACTGGCGGGAAGTTGAAGTCCTACCAGATAAAGGGTGTTAAGTGGTTAATATCACTTTGGCAGAATGGGCTTAATGGGATATTGGCTGATCAAATGGGCCTTGGGAAAACAATACAGACTATCGGTTTTCTTGCCCATCTCAAGGGGAAGGGTCTTGATGGTCCATACCTGATAATAGCTCCTCTATCCACTCTCTCGAACTGGGTGAACGAGATCTCAAGGTGACTTGTCTATATTGTTCTTTCACCATCCTTAATTGATATTCTTAAGTGAAGCTGCTTGCTTTCAGGTTTGTTCCATCTATGACCGGTGTGATCTACCATGGGGATAAAGCAGCTCGGGCAGAGATAAGGAGAAAATTCATGCCCAAAACCACAGGCCCAAATTTTCCATTAATCGTAACTTCCTATGAGATGGCTATGTCAGACGCAAAACAACTTGCTCATTATAAGTGGAAGTATGTTATTGTGGATGAGGTAAATGGAGAAACCTTGCAAGAAGTTATTGTCCTTGTCGTTCTGTCTTAATTTTGGATTTACATGTTACTACCATGTCTTTTTCTAGGGGCATCGGCTAAAGAATTCAAAGTGCATATTATTAAGGGAGTTAAAGCGCCTGCCAATGGATAATAAGCTCCTTTTGACTGGAACACCTCTTCAGAATAATCTAGCAGAACTGTGGTCACTGCTGAACTTCATTTTGCCTGATATATTCTCATCGCATCAGGAGTTCGAGTCATGGTATGATCCATTTTGCTGAGTATATTCCTTCTCAAGTGTGGTTTGTGCTTTTATACTATCACGTCTCAGCAGTCAGCACTAAAGTACAAATATGATAGTATAATTGAAGATTTTCTTATCATGCACTCGTTCCTATATCCATCTTAACCTTTCCGTCAAATAATTGTTTGTCTCACTTTTGAGTCATTTTCCTGACTGTTTATTGTCAACTTCGTTCATTTGTATATGCATTGAGCAGAGCAGATAGTCTTCTTCTCTTCAAGACAAGACATTTGTCAGGATCTCTCTAGGTCATTGAGGGCTAGCATATTGGTCAAAACAATGTAAAAGAACCTCTTAAACTGCATAACAGCAATTTCAACACTAATCTCATCAACTAACCCTGTTTATGTATATAGTTATTCCATTAGTTTGTTGCTACTCTTAAGACGTGGCTTTATTTTTTTTCTCATTGGCTTGCCTTTATGAAGTGTCGTAAAGTTGAATGCCCTATGTGTTGTAGCGGTTATGCATATTGCTTTGATATGCGATGTCTGCTAACGTGTCTTTTGAATGTAGCACAAATCTATGCTGTACATCTACTGATTTATTTGGTGTTTACTGGGATGCTATGTTTACTTTTGTGTCTGCCTTATGTCTGTTGTACAGGTTTGATTTTTGTGCAAAAGGGGGTGAAGAAGAACAAGAGGAAAGTGAAGAGAAGAGAAAAGTCGATGTTGTTTCAAAGCTTCATGCCATATTGCGCCCCTTCCTTCTAAGGCGGATGAAGGAGGATGTAGAGCATATGCTTCCACGAAAGAAAGAGATAATCATTTATGCTAACATGACTAACCATCAGAAAGAAATCCAGAATCACTTGGTTGAACAAACATTTGATGAATACCTGCATGAAAAATCAGAAATTGGTACGGATGCTTGTGCACATAGTCTCCTACATACATTCCTGTTGACTTAAAAAGTTAATCTGACAAGTGCTGAGGAGTATTGCAGTTCTGCGGAGACCTGGCATTAAGGCGAAGCTGAATAACCTTTTAATTCAACTGAGGAAAAATTGCAACCATCCTGATCTTTTGGAGTCCGCATATGACTCATCAGGTTGTTCCACATTGGACATCTGTAGTTAATTGCTTCACGTGCTCATTTCCTAACATTTTTGTTTTTTTTTCTTTCTGTAGGTATGTACCCACCTGTTGAGAAGCTCTTAGAACAATGCGGTAAATTTCAGCTCTTGAACAGATTGCTAAATTTGCTGCTTGCACGGAAGCACAAGGTATATCATTTTCTCTGCTATTCTGTTTAATTCAGGATTACATTAATGCAAATGTTAGCTCAAACTTTTTTTGAAGAAAAAAAATCATAGACCTCAACTGGCGTTCTTTGTAGGTTCTAATATTTTCACAGTGGACAAAAGTTTTGGACATTATCGAGTACTACTTGGAAACAAAAGGCCTTCAGGTTTGCCGAATTGATGGCAGTGTTAAGTTGGAAGAGAGGAGGAGGCAGGTAAAGCGGGCTGTGCCAAGCATTGCCGATTACCATATAATGTGTAAAGTTCTAGTCTTCTAGATGCATATAGGCTGACTGCGCTATCTTAAAATACAATTAGGAGTCTCATTTTTTCGCCATTGTTATCTTTTATCATCCATTTTAATGTAATACAGTTCTCACAATTTTGTGCACTATTCTCTTGCAGATAGCAGAATTTAATGACTTGAACAGCAGCATGAATATCTTTATTCTAAGCACACGGGCTGGTGGGCTGGGTATCAATCTTACTTCGGCTGATACCTGTATCCTATATGATAGTGACTGGGTAATTCCCTATTGACATTATTTTACTTCTTCAGACTAAATATTCATATTATAGCAAGTACATTGCAAGATTCTTTTGCATGCCATCCACCTGTTCGAACAGGTGGAATGTAGGCATGTAGACTTTACCTTCTATTAGCTGATTATGTGAATTGTTAAACTTCTGCCATCATTCTGCAGAATCCTCAGATGGATTTGCAGGCCATGGATCGATGCCACCGGATTGGTCAAACACGCCCAGTTCACGTCTACCGGTTGGCAACATCACATTCTGTTGAGGTGTGTCGGATGATCTTTTTGTCTTTAGACATCGGCTACACCACCTGTTGTATAGTTGCTCATCTTAATGGTGTTGCAGGGCCGGATCATCAAGAAAGCATTTGGAAAGTTGAGGCTGGAACATGTGGTGATCGGGAAGGGTCAGTTTGAACAAGACAGAGCCAAACCTAATGCACTAGACGTAAATGTTCCCATCCATCCTCCTGAGTCCTGACTATTAAGATAACTACTCTTTGTTCACACTTTTTTTTGGAAAACAAGTTCTTTCTTCATAGAGGAACACCATATGAACAAATCTACAAAATTGACACTGAAAGAATGTCCACCCCGCGGAAAATCCTCATCTCATATTTTCCATTTCTTGTGATTATGCAGGAGGCGGAGTTGCTGGCGCTGCTCAGGGACGAGCAGGACGAGGAGGACCGGATGATCCAGACGGACATCACCGACGAGGATCTCCTGAAGGTGATGGACCGGAGCGACCTTACAGGCCCTCCTGCCAACGCCGACGCCGCCCCTCTCGTGCCCCTGAAGGGACCCGGCTGGGAGGTGGTGGTGCCGACGAAGAGCGGCGGCGGCATGCTCACGTCGCTCACCAGCTAGCTGCTTTCTTTCATCGCTCGCTGCGCACCTCAGGCCATAGCCCTAGTAAGGCTGCCGGCTAAGGTGCCTCTTGAGCTGTGCTGCATCTGCTGATGAGACGACGCTTTTGTGATCCCACCCCAAGTAATTACTGACTGGGCATTGCACTTGCGCCAGTACACTAGGAAGTGATAAGGTAGTGTGCATCTAATCTGTCGTAAGTATCTCTGTTGTTGGCTCAGCTGCTGCATTTCATTTTGCAAGGCCCAAAGCCTTTTCTAGAATGCTAGTGTAAGAACGTGGTATTTGAGAACATAATATCCTTGTCTACCTGCTTTGGTATATGCAAGCTACTGGAGTACTTCATTCGTCCCATAAAAAATAAATCTAGAATCGGATACGACATATTCTAGTATTATTAATATGTAAAAAAATAAATCTAGAACCGGATATAACATATTCTAGTACTATAGATAGACATATGTATGTTTAGATTCGTTGTACTAGGATGCGTTATATCTAGTGTTAAGTTAGTTTTTTATGCGACGAAGGGAGTATTTTATTATCCATCGCTATATGAAGCTCCATCACTTGTACTGGGAGGTAGCTCATTCTTGGATTGGTAACCAATGATTGGCTTTGTCATGAAATGTGGCATGGTTTTGGAATGCTTAATCCCTAAGTATGCTGATAGCAGTAGTAAGGACAGTAGTATATGGGCCCACCGTCAGTCACCTGGAATATCCCATGTAACCTCTTTGCACATATCGCCCTGTTTATTGGACGGCAACACATGATTGCCGGGCTTTCTTCCCTCTCGTCCTGAGACAAATACACATGAAATGCAGGATTGTTCCCCTTTTTCTATGTCACATAGGAGTACCTTTTGTGCCTGAAGGAGGTTTAACAATCTGTCTTCTGAACCGGGGAAGTGATAGCCCCAACGATTGGCCTAATAAACCAAACCAAAAATCAAAATTTAAATTTTCAAACTTGTTTTAAAGTTGAATTTAAGATATTTCAATGTAATTTTTTTATGTTGATTTTAAAGTCGCTACAAATAAATATATGAAAAAATTATCGATAAATTAATCTTTATTCTTTAATAAGACGCTTTGGAGAAATATGAGCTCTCATATCAAACAACTATCGAGTCCCTGTAAGTTGTAACACGTGTTTGTTTCTCTCTCGTGGTGGAAAGAACAAAAAGAAAGGAAACAAAAGGCGGTACTACCGCCGTGGCCATATCGCTCATTCATGATTCATCACGCACTTGACCCCTTCGTTACCCTAAATCCTAATGCCGTCCCAAAGACAAAACCCACGAAACGTGTCGTGTCGCCCATCACCTTTGCCCGACGATATCGTTAGCATCCCGGCGGTCTCACCTGTCATCTCATCTCATCTGCACCCGTCACGCCACTCGCTACGCGCCGCCTTGGTAGTAGTTGGTACTTGGCCGGTGAGACGAGCGCCCCACCACCATCTCATTCTTGCCTCCTCCAAACGCAGCATCCCCGGCGGCGCGGCGCGGCGCGGCGCGGCGTGGCGTCTCGTCTCGACCCATCCCTCCCCCTCCCACGCAGCTACGCAAACGCAAACGCTGGCCGTCGGATCGGCTATCGTGCGGCACCACCACCTGTCTCGCTTATTTGGTTTTTGCCTCTTCTTCCATTTGGAAGCAGGAAACAGGTACGAATTGCGGGAGTGGGAGGCTTTAGCCGCTTTTAGAGACTCTCTGCTTTGTGCTCTCTTTTTTGTTTCCTCAGTGACACCCGACTTTAGAGCCTTATTATTATTTTGTGCAGAGATTTGGAGCGGGAGAGAGAGCCCACGGCTATTTCCTACCTCGCTAAGCAACCTTCCAACCTCGTCTGCTTAAGCCTGCAGGAAGCAGCGTTTCTGAGAGTGAGAGTGAGAGAAAGAGAGAGAGAGAGAGATGGCAGGGAGGAGGCAGCTTCTGCTTCTTCTTCTTCTCTGGGGATTCTTGCAGCTCATTCGTCTTCCTTATTCAGGTAAGGCTATATCTTTCTCGCACACAATTTGTCTCTTTTCTTGTGTTTGGTTCTGATAATCAGTCTTGGACTCTGAATCATGCTCTTGTTGCTGGAGCAGTTTCAATTTTGAGTTGGTTTTGGTTGATAGGTCAAACAAATTATAGCTCCAGCATGCATAATCTACCTCATTTTTCTGACTTTTTGTCCAAATTTTTCCCTAGTTCGAGAGTTACATCTTCCCTACAATTCGGCAAGTGCTCTTGTGCTATGGAAACGGTTTTCCTCTTCGTTTTTCTCTTGTTTCTTTATACTGTTGGATGGAATCTGCTGGACACAATGGACACAAGGGATATGGTTGTAGACATTTCGGCTCTCATCTTTTCTCGACTACACGAAGACGATCAGTCGTTATTTGGATGTCGTGTCATCATGTGATGGTGACTCAGGCGTTGTGCAGTGATAAGATGACACCTAACCTACTGATATACAGTATACAGATTACCCAGTGCTGTGGCCATTTTATTGCGGAACAAAAGCTTCTGTCTCGTTCAACACTTTTTAACTTTGTTTTTATAGAAATAAATTGTTTCTCATTCATGTGAGGTTTGAAATGTGGTATTTTACAGTGAAATCCATGCAAGATCATGTGAGGTTTCTGCTTTCAAAATAGGGCAGTAGTAGTATGGTCGTCCATCTTTTCGCTATTAGAGCAGCAGTAGTAGTATGTGCTTAGAGCAGGTACAATAACATGCTATTAGTTAGCTATAAACATATTTTAATAAAATAAAAGATGAGAGAGAAAAGCAGCGGGCTACAAATTTATAGCCAGCTGTATAGCACGTACTTCAAAACGTAGTGTGTGTATGACAGGTGGGACCATATATTAATAGTATAGTAAGCACTATTGTATGAACTGGCTATTAGATTGGCTATATATGAATTGGAGCTATTAGTGGGCTATACTATTGAACTTGCTTTTATACTTATCAGCTAAAATTTAAATTATTTTGGGTTTTTTCATCGAAGATTATTTTTCAGTCTTTACTTTTAAACCACTAAAAACATAGATATATAAAAGTTTTATTTCTAAATTATTATTTGTTTGCAAATACGCGGCAAAATGTTTTCACTGATCACGCGGGAACCGATTTATTCACTGCAGCGTCGCAGTCCTTCATCGGCATCAACTACGGCGACGTCGCCGACAACCTCCCGCCGCCGGCGTCCACCGCGCGCCTCCTCCAGTCGACGACCATCACCAAGGTGCGCCTCTACGGCACCGACCCGGCCGTCATCTCCGCCTTCGCCGGCACGGGCATCTCCCTCCTCCTCGGCGCCGCCAACGGCGACATCCCCAACTTCGCGTCCTCGCCGGCCGCGGCCGCCGCGTGGGTCGCCGCGCATCTCCCGTCCACCTCGTCGCCGGCGATCTCCGCCGTCTCCTTGGGCAACGAGGTCCTCTTCGCCGACACGTCGCTGGCGTCGCAGCTCGTCCCGGCGCTGCAGAACATCCACGCCGCGCTGCCGCCCAACTCCAGCGTGAAGGTGTCCACCGTGCACGCCATGGACGTGCTGGCGAGCTCCGACCCGCCCTCCTCGGGGGCGTTCAAGCCGGAGCTCGCCGCCGCGCTCGACCCGCTCCTGGCCTTCCTGAGCAAGACCGGCTCGCCGTTCCTCATCAACCCGTACCCCTACTTCGCGTACCTGAGCGACCCGCGGCCGGAGACGCTGGCGTTCTGCCTGTTCCAGCCCAACGCCGGGCGGCCCGACGCCGGCTCGGGGCTCACCTACACCAACATGTTCGACGCGCAGGTGGACGCCGTCCGCGCCGCGCTGGACGCCAAGGGGTACAAGGACGTGGAGATCGTCGTCGCCGAGACCGGGTGGCCGCACAGCGGCGGGGCCGACGAGGCCGGCGCCACCGTGGGGAACGCGCGCGCGTTCGTCTCGGGGCTCGTGTCGCACCTCCGGTCCATGGCCGGCACGCCGCGCGCGCCGGGGAAGCCCGTGGACACGTACCTGTTCGCCGTGTACGACGAGGACCTCAAGCCCGGGAAGCCGTCGGAGAAGTCGTTCGGGCTGTTCCAGACCACCACCCTCGCCGAGACGTACCCGACGGGGCTGATGAGGAACGGCACCGCCGCCGGTCTGGCACCAGCCATGGCGCCGGCGGCGGCGGCGCCGACCCTTCCGGTCAAGCCATCACCTGCTCCGGCGAGACTGCCGGGGCAACAACCACAGGTGACTCCATTGCAGCCGGGCTCGGCGGCGGCGGCCGGGCCTTCAGCCCTGTGCGCGCCGGGGACGGCGACGACGACGGCGAGGGGAGCAGCAGCTGCTGCTTGTAGTAGTCCTAGTGCAGCGGAATCGCCACGGACAATGTCAGTGATCAGCATAATTGCAGGCGTGTTGTTAATGTACCTGTTAATCTGAGAGGCAGATGCATGGATGCATTCTCTTGTACTCACATTTTGTTAATCAAATCCTGTTGATCTTGTCCAAGTATTGCATGAAACATGGCAACTCACATTCAAATAACGTACAATGTTTGTGTACGAACAATTCTGGAGACAGAATTGCACGCTGGGCTCAACGTGAGCAGCATGTTGGGAACAGAAGGTATAGTGACAGTCATGCAGAAAGAATGATCATCAATCAGCTCAAACATACAACAGTAGTTTGTTGGCATGCAAATACACCAACCAACACAGTGAGTAGGGCAGAAGAAACAGCAATCGTAGGCACCATCCAACACTCCAAACAGCATCTCCAACAAACATCAAATACTGTTACAACTCTCAACACACAACCAATGCACAGACAAACCCAGAAAGGCCGGTATGATTGTAGCTATGCTCCGGAATGAGACACCGGTGAGGTGATGAATTGCCCGTCTTTGAAGCTGTGGATGTACTGTTGGGGCAAAGCATGTTCCACCTGCAATATAAGAACAATATCTTAAGCGCCAGACTGTATATAGATTGTCTCTAGAAGCAAGAGGATATCGACTGTAAGCCCCTAATGGTACTGTTTGTACTCAAAAGAGATGTCTGCATCATCAAAGGTGTTTGATTATATTGCCCAGTTAATGTGCACACCAACAAGGCAACAACTAACATCACCCACAACAGATTTAAAGAATTCCCAATTGGGTCATGGTAAACACATAGACAGAAGATCAGATCTTACCCAATCACCATCAGTAGCACCACTTGGAACCATCACATTGATTTCACTAGATTTAGCTGAAGTGATGGAGGCTCCAAGTGAATCATTGCTTAAGTACAATTGACATCCAGATGTGTTGTCGATTGATATTGTTGGTGCTGTACCCTGCAAGTTAAAGAACTTCAGTCTCTGACAGCAACACAGACAAGGGTGTGTTTAGTTCATGCTAAAATTGGAAGTTTGGTTGAAATTGGAACGATGTGACGGAAAAGTTGGAAGTTTATGTGTGTAGGAAAGTTTTGATGTGATGGAAAAGTTGGAAGTTTGAAAAAAAAGTTTGCAACTAAACACGGTGATGGTAAAGCTTACGTACCGAATGGCAATGAAAACTCACACTCAGGGGTCAGGACAACAGAACACAAATAAAAATAGCTTCTAGACAGAATAATTTGTTGAAATTTATAAGTACTAAATTCAAAAGGAAAGGCGATAAAACATTAAGTTCAAAAACAAGCAATTATCTAGTCCCTCGCATTCTTTTGTGCCAGACTTTGCGCCTCATCTGCTGGCAGCATGATGAGGGTGAATGTCCAACATTTCAGTCTTTCGACCTGACCATCCAATAGTGATTTTATGACATCGTATAATAATAACTGACCAAGCAAAGGAGATTAGGAGATCGGCAGATTGCTTAAACCTAGATGATTCTGGGCATGCCCAAGCTTGATATTTCTAAAATTAGATAAAGGTCAAATCCTAAAAGTATGACAAGCAATCCAGAACACACACAAAAGCGACATCCTTTTAGAGAGGGAAGAGCAGTAATGTAACCAGATAGAATACTCCTTAACACTGTTCACACATTTACAGTTATGAGTATAGCATTCCAAAACTGAATACCTGGCATTGCACCTCAACACCATTGCAATTGACAACTTCAAAAGCTGCTACAACATGCTGAAACATTCGGTAAACAGAATTTAGTTTTGCCACAGTAATAGAATAAAATTTAGCTCAGGGTTAAATTTGGTCTCAACAGTTTAAACTAACCCACTAACCTTGAAAACGATTCCAACTTTGGTGCATTTGTCAACAGTGATATTGTTCACTTTACCTGCAAAATGTTTTATAATTGTTATGACACCAAATAATATGGGAGAACGTGATATGTAATACGTTACATATCCCAAATAAAGGTGTATATTACCATTTACTTGAAGGACAGAATCCTTGCATCCATACACATATACAGATTGTCTAGCATCACAATCATCGATTGCAAGGTTCTTTTTACCAACTTGATTTTCGACCACCCATCTGCCATTTTTTTTATATCTCAGGGAAATATGAACAGAATAATCAACAATATATAATATAAGCACATTTTATCAGAACAAGAAAATTATATGGCGTCCTTCTGACTATATGTCTAAATGAGTAAATGATGCAAGGTCCTTCAGACTGCCACGGTGCCACCATAATAAAATAAATGGTTATTGTGTCTTGGGAAGCTTCAATCATGTGGAATTATATGAATTTGTGGCATATAACATACTACTCAAATTTGAAATTAACTAGATGTATGTAATTAATTCTATTTGCAATACTTATCTTGTACATATAATTTAACTATATAGAAATGTATGGTTTCAAGCTATTTGTCTACCAAAGCCCCCATTCTTGCAACTTCTGTACCAACTCACTAATGCAACCTAGCTAACCAGAAACGAGGCTTCCCAGATAATCCTCATTGTTGGACCTGGTTGGTGTTCATGCAGCCATGCAGGCCATCAATCAAACCCATACTGTACCAATTGACAGTATATACTAGAGTCTTAGATAGTAATCTATTTGGTGTTTTGTTTAATAATCAGGGTGAAGCTCACTTGCGCCCCATCTGAAGCTCCAATTTTGGAGGCCCAGACTTGAAGGAGAAAGACCCTGCACGAGAGGTCTTCTCAGGAGCAGCAGCCGGAGCAGCAGTGCTGCTGCTAACAACACCACTTCTATCAGACCGGTTTTTAGTCTTCATGTCATCAGTAACCTTTCGCAATCCTGCAAAACAGTAATAGGGCTGTCACAGGTCTGTTTTTCAGTATTGATAACAAAAACAAAAGGGAAAAAAATGTCACAAAATAGATGAATCACGTGTTTTCATCTACCTGTGGTCACAGCTTTGCCTGAACTAATCTCCTGAAAGACAGCTGACATTCCTTCTTTAGGCTGTGCAGATTTAGGAGATTTCTCTGTGGTAAAAAGGGGTGCCGAAGGTAGAGCAGGTGGAGGGGGAGCCTTAGCCCCTGGTGCTTTAGGAGCTGGAGCAGTAGCCTTTGGTTGGGATACAGGTGCACCTCCAACTGGACCCCAGGAAGGACCAAGAGGGTAATGTTTCTTAACAAAATCCCGTAAACCAGGCATGTATAGCTCCTTCAAAGCTTTAGCCCACTCAACATGGTCAGCATCTTTGTTCCTGTACTCCACAAGAACCTAAGAGGAAGATTAATGAGCATTCTTCAAAACAGTATAATTATGTGTATGGTTCTGCAATTGAATGAGATAACTCAGGTCAATGATTAATATCATCATCGCGTACTCAGCTATAAGGAATACTGGAAAAACAGGTAAAAAAAACTACTACTATGTTTTTCATAGGAGTAGTTGGTTTCTTACTTGTCAGGCTAATGGTGAAAGAAATTGTTGGATGTCGCGCACATTTTATTATGTGAAACACTTTATGATATGCATATAACAAAATGCATTATTTCCCAGAAACTTGAGAGATACACAGACTGAAGGAATAATGAAAGGTGACAAAACAGCCCTACTTCTCACCATACGAAAGCCATTCTCATCGCGAGAATGATTGTCTAGCATCCCTTTCTAAAAGGAGAAAACTTTGAGCATTCTGACCAGGCTTCACAATTGACGCATTTTGTGACTTTACATACTGTAGGTATAAAATATGGAGATATTTAACTATTTGCCACTCTTACATGTGGCGTTTAACAATTTGCCAGCTGGACCCACATGTCTATGGGTGGCAAATTGTTAAATGCTAAATCTAAAAGTGGCAAATTGTTAGTAAAGCAAATATAGAAAATGGTCGAATAAAAAAAGTGTACCTTGTTATTGTAGAACTCAGCCATCTGCCAACTTTCTTCAACATGTGCTGTAGGGAAACTCATGCCTTGCAGAGAAGAAGAATGGGAGAAATATTACAGAATGATATATATGGTAGTCGGCAAGACACCAATGCTAAAATCCAAACATAACAAATTTACTAACCACAATCCTTTCCTAGGAAGCCAACCCACGCCAAAGCAGTGAGACTGTCGGCAACACTCTTGATATGGTTGAAATAGTCAGGCCTCCTTCCTTCAGTCATCGCAATTGCTTTCGCAATAACATCATTCAGCGGCTTAAAGAAGTCTTGTGCATCAGCCATTGATGCAGGTTTCTGCGCAACATTAGGAAAAAAAAGCTGATTACTGATGCAAGAATGGGCACCTCTTCACCCCCCCTCGCCCTTAGTAACTGAATGACTATGTGTAATGTTCCCAACTTAGAACCAATCAAAGTTCAGGCTAGCAATAAGAATGGACATCGCATTTTTCAGATCTCACAATGGCTGAAGTAATTTTGTACATAAATGTTATCAATAATTTTGTACATAAATGTTATCAATAAACATGTAAGCACGTCATCGCACAATGAACCTCCAGCAGAATGGCCCTGGCCATCTCGATAAACAAAATACCAAAATCCTGAATTCGCCTCCAAATCTCGGGTTGATCAGTCATTCCCGCGAGATTCCTCCCCGGGACGCACATCAGATTGGCCCAAACAGTACGGAACGCCGGGAGATCTACGCGCCGAGCACACCCAAAATCTAAGAGATCAAGGCAGGAACACATGAGAGAAGCCGCGCCCCGTACCTGGAGCTGCTTGGCCTGGACGAGGCGGTCCTTGGAGACGGCGAAGGCCTCGGCGAGGACCTTGGTGGCGTCGAGCACCTTCCCTCCGATCTTCTCGGCCGCGGCGGTGAGGCGGCCGACGGCCCCGGCGACGAACTCGTCGTAGGCCACGATCGCCGGATCCGACGCCGCCGCCGCCGCGTCCAGCCCGTCCCCGAGGTCCCGCGGCGCCGCCGACAGCGAGGCCCCGGAGGCCACGGCGGCCTCGAGGCGCGCCACCGCCGCCTCCAGCCGCTCCACGAGCGCCTTCTCCATGGCGGCGGAATCAACAAGCTAGGTTACTCTTCCTCTCTGCCACTTCTGCTAGTGCTCCGTGCGTGCGCGTCTCTGTGGCGTGGCGCCGCGCCGCTTCCAGCCTTGGCGGATTTATGGCTATGCGCCTTCAGTTTGAGCTTGCTTGCCAGCGCCGCGTTTATTTTTTTTTCCCTTCGTTTTTTTCCCTGATTCCTTATGAGGCGACAAAATAATAATAATAAATTATATAATAGATAAATACATGAATTTAAGCGTGTTATAATAATAATAATAATAATAATAATAATAATAATAATAATAATAAGTTTAAATAGGTTTTTCAGATTTGAGAAACGCTTTGATACTATTTCGATCTATTTGTAAGGACGTGGAAAGGCCAACATGACAGGATCATGGTTGCACATGATCTTTGATTTCTTTTCAAAGCTTTTGGAATTGATGAGCTGGGCTAATTGCCGAAAGTTGAAGGCAAACACCGAAGGATAGAGGGGTTTCACAACAACAACAGATCTCTCCCGTCCTTCAGCATAACAGAGAAATGTCGGTAAGGCTTTCAGCCCAACGGTCCCAAATGGCAGACAACATGCTAGCTCAAATGGCAAATTCTTTCTATACGGGCCAAAATGCCAAACCAGAATCAAAATAGGAACAAGTTCACTTAACGTGCCTAAATTTTGCATCGAGTCTATCGGAGATCCCCAATCCGCAATACCAAAAATCTCGACCCCTCAACTATCACAAACAGTGCAGAAAAGGTCATGAGGTAGTATTTGTCGGCGAAATGGGATCTAGGGCCCCCCATTTACCGGGAATATTGTAGCTCTACATTTTTGTCATCATAACTGGACCCATGGTCAAGGTTAATTCCTAGAGAAGCTCGGGGCTCCTGTCTGCCAGGAGCCTAGGCCCGCCCGCGTTTTAATATACTATATTTATTCTTCTCCAAGAAGAATGTCGATATGTACAAAACAAATACACATATAAATATTCATAACCACAAGGTAACGAGAATCCGAGTCCCAGCCTGCCCGGGGACCTGAGCCTCCTCCTGCCCTTGTGGAGAAAGGCGTGGAGACTTACAAAATCTATATCTAAAAGATATAAGGTGAGTGGAAGCGAGGAGCTCGGGTTCGCTTGGGCGCCGGACATGCCATCAAAACCTATAAGATTTACATCTTATAACAGCAAAGCCTGGGTCTGGACTGCCCCGGTGCCCTATAGGCTCCGCAACCCTCTCCCAAAGAGAAGCGTGGAGACGTACAAAACTTACATCTTGTGTAAGTTTTCGTAAATGACATATTTGAGAAACTATCATAAATATGGTAAAAACATAAACAAAGAGATGCGGGGACGTGGCTCGGGACTGGATGTTAGAACACATCCCACAACCAGTTGTAAGCAACCGCTACTACCATAAACAGGATAAGTTCGTGGAGAACTCCCACTAACTGGTATTGAAAAGACCTGGGTGGGTCTAGTGTACGAACGTTTGCATCTCGCGAAGGGTGGGAACTGGGAAGGACGCGACAGGTGCGTATGGTTCTTCCGTTCCTAATTTCCCGTTTTCCTTTTTTACGTGATTCGTTTCAATTTTCTGTTATCCTCTTTCTTACGTTATTCTTCCATAACGGTATCAAAGTTTGTGTTTTTCTTTTTTTTAGCTATAGTTATTTTTATAGCTTTTTTAATGGAAATTTTTTATATATGAACTTTTTTTTGGAAACTCACATATAAACTTTCTATATATAGATTTTATGTGCATAAACTTTCTATATATAGATTTTATGTGTATAGACTTTTTATTTATAAGAGATGAATTATATTTACAATTAGAAAGTTTAATTAGTGTATAAACTTCTGCACAATCAAAAAATCTAATTATCATCGGATATTTTTTTAAGAAATAAAATCCAATCTAAACAACTTAATCTAATAGGAAACAATGATTTGTTTGTCTTCTACCCGAAACACCCTAATCCTACGTAAGAGCTTCAACACGTCATTAGGATTAACGATAAAACGAGCTGTTCGCGAGATGCGAACGTTCGTACACTACACCCACCCGATGGAAATAGCACAGGAGGAATAAACGAACAGCGGCACGCCTCCATCCTGGAGGTTATCTGTATCGTCGCCGCGAATGGCCGAGATGAATGAAGTATCTCGATCCGTAGGTGCTTCGATATAATTTTCATCATAAAAATCTCATCTACATCAACCTCAATATCATTGTCATGCTAACAGTAACTAGTAGTAAGAACTAACAAGTGTAGTATCATTATGATTTTGAGACGTTGGATTTGATAAATGAAGTACGAAGGATGTATGACTGTGCTGGTGAACTATAGGGTAGATTATAGTAGGGGTATAAATTTGCAATACTCGAAAACAAAAATGTACTACTTTTATAAATCTCACTATTATAAAAGTTGAATATGTTTTTGTCGATTGTTTGGTACGTCATCCGATTCGAGTACGAATAAGATAGTCCGACTTCAAATCCGTATCCTATTCAATCGCCATAAAAAAAAGTCTCAAATACATCTACATGTATGTCTCGAATTTGTTGCTCGCATGTATTGAAGAAGAGAACAGGTCATCAGATCGATTCGTGCTAGAATATACCGCGCATATGTAAATTTCTCTTTATTAGTTTAGAAAGAAGCGCAGCTAGCATCGGCTGCATGCTCTTCCTGATCCGATTGTGATATGGATAAGATGATACAGCTTGGCTATTTTTCAAAGGTTGTTGCATAAACACCCATGTAGACATATCTTCATGTTATTTCTATCATTTATGAATTTGGAATATTACTATTATGTTTTTATGAGATTTTGCGATCGCAATGCAATAACCAGCCACGTGAGACAATTTCGCAAGTCATAATGCTCAAATACTGTTTAAAAATATGTCACGATTTAGTTTTTTCGTTGCAACGCACGAGCACTTTTCTAGTATATTAAAAGAGAAACAAAAGAAAAAAAAATCAGCACAGCACAGGTGTTGGGCTAAGTTATAGGCCTATAATGGGCCGGCAGGCTGTGTGGAGGAAGAACCGAGGAGAGAGAGACCAAGAAACGAACGGAGCCGTAGGATGGAAAGGAACGGTGGATATGAGAGAAGTGCACGGCCGCCGCCTCGCCCTCCTCCCCTAGCTATCACGACTTCTTCCTCTTCCCCAATCCACGCCGCCGCCGCCTCCGCTCCTCCCCTCGAGAGTCGCAACCTGCCCTTTCCCAATCTCGCCGCCAAATTCTCCGGCGAGACGGCCATGGAGGTCCCACCTTTTGCTCGCCCCAATCGAGCCTCGCCGTTGGCTTGGGAAGCGGATTTCCTCGAGAGGACAAATCTCACCATGTCGACGGTGGAGTACGCGCTTCCTACCGCAATCATGACGTCGCCATCCTTCGTCGCGGAAGGCGCTGGAGGAAGCCAGATTTGCGCCATGTATTCCTTTCAAGCCTTCAGTGAAATGATAAACGAGAGGAACGCTGAGCCCGGGATGATCGACGTCTTCCTACTCCCCCATCTTCCCCTCAATGACGTCTCCGATGTGTACGACCAGATCGGCAGCGGCGACGCCCCCTACCGCATCTCAAATGGCCCCATGCTTCTCAACAAGGTCAATGCTTATCGCGAGCTGATTCGCGTGGGTAAAGAGCTGGCGCCTCTGGAGGGTCTCATGAAAAGCCTTGAGGACGAGCTGCTTGTCCGTCTTAATAGCATTGTCTCTATACTCAAATCAGATGGTGAAGACATCCCGTTGCCACTTGACATGTCTGCAGCAACTCAGCTTCTATTCAAGTGGGAATCTGATTTTGTCGAGGCCTGTGAGATGGCAACGAAGGCCAGACGCCGCCTCATGCTGGCAACTCTTCTGGCAATGTTCTGGTCCTCCAGTGACGACTTTGTGGAGAATGAATTCTCAGTCAGGGAGGGTGATGCAATCTCCATGAGTCATGTACAAGAGACTCTCCAAAGGTTGGCTCCAGATCTTTACCAGAATGTGTTTGGCGCCCTCAATGAGGTACACTATACAGAGGATGGAAGGCCACCGAAGAGTGTAGTTGTTTCGCTCAAGAGGCTAATTACAGAGATCACATCCGAGATGACACCTACTGAGTTCGTAGCATTCTCACTGGAGACGAGTCGCAGGGACTTGATTCACCAGCTAAGTGATGTGTCCCACCAGGAATTTCGCTTGAAGGTCTTGAGGTCTCTTCAGTCTGTGGCATCTGCTTTAATCCACCTCCACATGCTGGATAAAGAGATGTTGGAGCCCCACCTCTCACGGCCAACACTCTTGGGGTGCAAAGGTAAAATTTAGCATTAGCATTGTTGATGCTATGACGTGTACGGCCCTGGATCGTTTGTAACTATCTTATATTGTGTGTTCTAGATTATTCACCGCTAAACCAGGATCCATATTGGCCCCATTTTCAAGTTTTATCAGATGAGGAATTAAGTGTTGAAGTCCGTCGAGGCTCCCTGCCAATGTTCTGAGGTAACACTTTGATTGTTACTTTTGTTCCACAAAAATATGCTATATTGCAGAAATGGACTGGTTTCAAAAGTATTTGTATAAATATACTATTTTTATACTGGGCTTGAAAGACCGGTATAAAAAGAGAAGGGGTAGCGAGCAGCCGTAAAGAGTAGAATGGTAGCGGTTTATGAGATAACAAAAAGTATAAAAGAAAATTGTAAAGAGTATTCTCCTCGCATCAGGAATTCGAGTCATTGTATGATCCATTTTGCTGAGTATATTCCTTCACAAGTGTGGTTTGTGCTTTTATAGTCTCACGTCTCAGCAGTCAGCACTAAAGTACAAATGTGATAGTATAATTGAAGATTTTCTTATCATGCATTCGTTCCTATATGCATCTTAACCTTTCTGTCAAATAATTGTTTGTCTCACTTTTGAGTCATTTTCCTGACTGTTTATTGTCAACTTCGTTCATTTGTATATGCATTGAGCAGAGCAGATAGTCTTCTTCTCTTCAAGACAAGACATTTGTCAGGATCTCTCTAGGTCATTGAGGGCTAGCATATTGGTCAAAACAATGTAAAAGAACCTCTTAAACTGCATAACAGAAATTTCAACTCTAATCCCATCAACTAACCCTGTTTATGTATATAGTTATTCCATTAGTTTGTTGCTACTCTTAAGACATGGCTTTATTTTTTTCTCATTGGCTTGCCTTTATGAAGTGGCGTAAAAGTTGAATACCCTATGTATTGTAGCGGTTATGCATATTGTTTTGATATGCGATGCCTGCTAACGTGTCTTTTGAATATAGCAGAAATCTATGCTGTGCATCTACTGATTTATTCGGTGTTTACTGAGATGCTATGTTTACTTTTTTGTCTACCTTACGCCTGTCGTGCAGGTTTGATTTTTGTGCAAAAGGAGGTGAAGAACTAGAGGAAAGTGAAGAGGAGAGAAAAGTCGATGTTGTTTGAAAGCTTCATGCCATATTGCGCCCCTTCCTTCTAAGGCGGATGAAGGTGGATGTAGAGCAAATGCTTCCATGAAAGAAAGAGATAATCATTTATGCTAACATGACTGACAATCAGAAACAAATCCAAAATCACTTGGTTGAACAAACATTTGATGAATACCTGCATGAAAAATCAGAAATTGGTACGGATGCTTATGCACATAGTCTCCTACACACATTCCTGTTGGCTTAAAAAGTTAATCCAACAAGTGCTGAGTATTGCAGTTCTGTGTGTTGTAACACGAGGCCAACACCATTCCTCCCATTCGGTCAAAACACTAACAACAAAGGAGGTCGTGAAGACTCCCAAGTGTTCAAGGCAGAAAGTACCTTTTCGCATGGTAAAATACTCTCGAATGGGAAAGTATCTTCGATTCTTCGTGCCTGCCGTATCTGAAAATTAAGGTAGAGCTGGGCTTAAATTTTCCATCAATGTTCAAACTGCCAACGGTTCTGCGTATCTCGGCGTACGGCCGACTTCTATGTTCTATCCACCTGACCTCGGTGCACAGCTGCGCCTGCATGCGTCAGGCCCGCAACGCACATGACGTTGCGTTTTGCACGATTTGGTCCACTACTGTTTCTTTTGCGTGGAGGATAGCCTCATCAATCATCCAAGTGCTTTGCGCCGCGGCACGGAAGTCGAAGTCATCATGTGTACAGGTTGTACTCGTAGGAGTATCTTGCAACTGCAGCTCGTTCATTAGATCGATCGTGTGTCGCCGATGATTTTTGCCGTGTACACAGAATTTTGTAGCGGAACAGGTTGGCTCGCTCTGCTGAATTTCGTCCCGTCCATCGCCTAACCAGGCCAGACATTCGTGACGCAGGTCTGCAGCTGCGTCATGAAGAGAGATGCATGCATTTCCATTCAATGCTGACGGCTCCGCCGTGCTGGACTCGTTCGTGCTCGCCGGCCGCCGATCGAGTCCGCTCCGGTGATGCGAAATAGAATACCGAGTAGCAAGATACTCCGTATACAGCAGTTGTTTCCCTCCATCCAAATACTACTATCCACATTACCTAATAAGCCAAAACGCTTTATTACAAAATACAAATTAATTTATAAGTAAAAATTTTCTATATGTGTTGTTAGCGATTTAAAAGTCAAAACTATACTTAAAAATATCTTAAAATTAAATTCAAAATTAAGTTTAAAAATTTAAATTTTAGCTTTGAATTTGGTTTATTATTAGAAGCCCTAAGGCTGACGCCTAGTTCAATAGAGCAACTTTACTCCTTTTCATTACCAAGTTTCCCATACTGCTAAACATTATGTTTTATGTAACAAACATTTATATAGAATTTTTTTTAAAAAAATCAAATTAATTTATTTTTAAAATTTAAATTAATTAATCCTATGCTAACGATCTGTCCTATTTTCCAAATCGCCATCAACTCTAGCTGTTCGTTTTGGGTGTTGCGTATGGAAACTTCGTGTCACATAAAACAAGATGAATCGTTAGAACATGATTAATTAAATATTATTATTATAAATTTGAATTGAGTTTTTTTAAATAAACTCATATGTAAAATATTAAATGTTGCGTATCGTTTATCAGAAATAGTAGCAGCGGTCCAAGTCATTTCCAGTGTGCCCTCGCTAGTCGGTCTCCCCTGGCGATGGCTCCGCACAACGGGCGAAGGCCGGAGGCGGGGGCTTCACGCGATGGCAGCCGGCGGCAGGGGCTTTGCGTGACGGCGGCCGACAGCAACGATACCGATGGTGGTGGCTTTAGCTTCATGCAGCGCTAGCTGAGCATGGGACTTCACAAGAGATTAGGCTGGTAATCCTCCAGCGATACTACACCTCGAGCTCAGGCGACCAAAATCGGTCACCTGACTCAGGCCAGTGACATGCCAGGTTTCATCAGGCCAGGCGAGTGGAAAGGGGGTTTAGGGTGGCAACCAAACAGAGAGTAAAATAACTTAGGCTTTTGTCTCAGGCCAGGCAAATTTTTCTCAGGATAGCAATCAAACAAACCCTTATTCATTTGAGAGTCTAAACCAGAATAAACACTTGTGTTCGTATGCTTATACGATCTTGCGTAGGCCAATGTACCGCGCGAGGCCGCCGACGCCGACGACGACGACGCAGTCCAAGTCCAACGACACTCGTGTAGTCGTGTGCCACTGGATTCCCTATTGTTCGTACGCGCGCGCAGTAATTGGTAGGGTTCAGCCATTTAGCAAAGGTTTCTCGACCTATGATGGACCGATGGTTGGTCGCTGGGGCGTTCCACCAGCCAATTTGGCGAGGAACAAAGTGACAAACTTGGATTGGATTTGAATTAGTAGGTTCAACTATATGAACAACTTGGAATGCTCGTGAAAAGAACGTACGGGCCACTAAAGCCATCATCACAAATGATAATTACATAATTTTTTTAATAAGAAAAATGATCAGACGTATCTCAGAAAATCAAATCATATATTAAAAAAATGTTTGGGTAGAGGACAATATACGCGTAGAAATGATCACGTGAAATAACTCCTATTGTATATATATAGTGGTAGTAGTCTCTCCGGGTTCATAATTCTGATCATTTTGGACATGAGCATCAATCTAAAAAAACTTTGACCATTATTTTCCATTATAATAGATATAAAAATATTAACAAATATACGGTTTTATTAAAGTACTTTTTAAGACTAATCTATACATAGTCACCTTATTTGAAAGACAAATATTTTTAAAATGATTCATAATCAAATATTTTAAAATTTGCCCTCACCCTTGTCTAAAACAAGTATTTTAAAGAAAACACTGTTGTGCTGATAGTAGCTTGATTCGTTCATGGAATTAATATATGCTTAGGCTATTTAAGACTTTTACAGCCGCAGTACCCCTCAATTCCCCCAAATTGTCGTGTCGTGGAACGTTTGTGCTTGCACGAGTGCACGGTACAGGTACAGTGCAGGACCATGCTGCACAGAGAGGACATCACGCGTGCTAATCCATTGCAAATTATTGGATTTCATCAATTTATTGTAATAAATTATTAGTCAAAGGCAAAGACTGCATCTTGGAGTGAGCTGACGTCAAAAACCATATTTCATGCGGCTTTATCTCACAAAACAGTGAGGACACCCTGAAACTCCTGCCTCTTAAGAAGCTCTTTGGCAATCCTGCGGCCTCTTTCCTCCAACCAATCAACCGTCGGGAGACCCTTAATTCTAACCATCGGATCCATGATCATACAGTCAAGTCTACTAGCACAACGACGAATGTGGTGTGCTAGCTCGATCAGCCCCTGCCAATGACAGGCTCCAGACATGACCACCCTCTTGAGCTTGTCATGCCGATACGGTAGCATATCCACTCTGATCGCCTGTCTGATGACGAAATCAGAGAAGCGAAACTGCACGCAACAAATCAGCGCACTTGTGAGTTCCATCGCATAATGTTTCCGTCAGTAATTCATCCAATGTTTGGAATGCATGAATTTATGGAAGAAGAAAAACTAATTGGAAGGAAAAAAAAAGCAAACACAAAAGTCAAAACCAGAGTGTTTGGAATCGGGTCGGTGCTGTTTTATGAGCAGCAGCAACAACAACACCAACAACAATAATTATAAATTAATAATAATAATAATGTACTAATATGTTGTCCTCAGAACAGATGCTATCCTAACGAATCTACCCTCATAAATCTAATAGCTTTTATATAACATATTGTTTTAATCTATTTTTAAAATTTTTCTTATAAGCATAGATTTCAAGATGAAAACTGGAAGACATCAAATCACTCTAACCCTACGGTTTCCCATTTCAAACTAAAGGAGCACACCTGCAGCTTAAGAATAGGATCATCACAATTGCCAATAATTTTTATAAGGTGCCAACACATTTCAAAATTTAAAGAGTAAATTTCATAAAACCCCACCTATTATGGTCTAAGTTGCACAGAACCACATGGATTTTAACATGTCACACATAACCTCAAATATTATAGTCCTAAAGTTTCACAAAACCACGCCGTTAACCAAATTGACATACTCCTATATCAAAATTTTAAAAAGATTTACTTACATGGATCTAACATTTATATGATGGATAAATCTCTACTATTATAAAAATTGAAGATGTTTTTGCCGATACTTTTGGTACGTCATTCGTATATGAATCGGTTTTCAAGTTCGTTCGCTTTTGGAAATACAGAAGGAGTCGTATAAAAAATCTCTTTAAAAATTTCGCATGCTAACTTGAGATGATTGGACTCCTAATTGCAGCTCATGATTTTCTAGAAAAAAATATATATCCACGAGAATTCTCAGAGTGATTTTCATCTTAACTAAACTAGAGTATATAATAATAATAAAATTAAAATAGCCTTCATCCGTTGCAACGCACGGGCATTTTTTCTAGTAAATTATAAATTTGAGATGTGATTGTAGAACTAACAAATGTGGTAAATCAATGTTGAAATGATCAAAATCGTGGTTTTGTGAAACTTTATGGCCATAATACCTAAGGTTATGTGCCACATGCCAAAACCTTTGGGTTTTGTGCAACTTAGACCATAATACCTAGGGTTATGTGAAATTTACTCAAATTTGAAACAATCCAATATTATATATAGACTCTGTGACATAAATGGGATGATACCATTAAATATGCATATGAAATTATTCCCATATTATCATGACTTTGTAATTACAAAACAACAGTACAATGCAAAAGAAAGTAACACTCAAAGGTCAAATTGTAATTGTGGCTTCAAAATATTAAAAGAAGGAATGGTTCTAGAACATTATGCCAATAAAGAATCCAACAGGCTTCGAAATATAAACAAAATTGTATTGTATCACAAAATAATAAGGTAATAAAGCATGGTAGTCTCTAATTTCCAATAGATAGAAACTTTGTTACCCTTTTGTATTTTTCAACTATAAGATCAAAATCGACCAACTCCAAATTTAAGCAATGTAGTTGTAGCTTTAGATGAATGAAAATAACAAACATACAGGAAATTGAAAAATAAAAAGATTTGTTTTAGATGAATGAAAGAAAAGTAGGTAATAGAAAATAACAAGGATGACGCTGTGCCACCACAAAAATGTCTACACATAATGCATGTTTAAGAAATTGTGAACAGATTTTGAAGTTGTCAAAGCCACTCACGTGCAGTTCCAGTTCCTCTAGAACTGGAGCGAGCTCCAAGAGGTAGGCCAAACGAAGAATCCCACCAACTGACCTGCCGTCCCCATAAAGAGGCAAATACAAGCTCAGATGCCTCAAATTGATGAATCTCACTGAGGTTTTGGCAAAACTTTGCAACTGAAACACAACCATGATAGTCAAGGTATGGATGAGATGACAAACAGATGTCTAACTGATTAATGAATTTAGTTGCTTTCAGAAAGAGATAAAACCTCATCGTAGATGCAGAGTGTCGAGGTAATGGAGAGTTTCTGCACATGCGGAAGAGCGGCAGGAAGCTCGGTGCAGATGTAGTCCAGATTATCACCATAAAGCACGCTCTTATGTAGCAGTTTAATGTTTGCCTCCATCACCTTCAGAGATTCACTTAGTGCCAACGGAATTGGCCGATTGGTCAAATCGACCGATGTGAGGTTTGGAGCTTCCAGCTCAACCTTTTCCATGTAGCAGTAGTGCAAAGAAAGATAACGCAGACGGCGCAGTGGCTTGCACAAGGTTAGCTCAGTGAAGGAAGAGCAGCTGATGCTCAGCCACTCAAGAGCAGTGCACTCCGACAGCATCAGATGTTGGAAGTCATTTAAAAAGGAAACTTTGTGCAGGGTGAGCTTCTTGAGGTTTGCAAAGCCAGTGAAACCAGTGGTTGCTGTGTTCAACCAGACGTAGCTCAGATGAAGGGATTTGATATGAGCAGGGGAGCGGTCAGGGACACTGAAAACATGCAGGTGGAAGATGTACTTTTCATCAGCTAAGCCCCTGAAAATACCCTTCACTCCAGGAGTGAAATCAAAAGTGATGTGCCTTGCTCTCAACTTGGAGCAGAAGCCAACCCATCTGTTGACATGGCAGGTATGTTTCCTGCGCAGCCCAAACTTAACAACAAACTTATTCAGGGTAGGAGGTGCACATAGCTGCCGCAAAAGACTGTTGACTCTCCTGGCAAAGTTGGTCCTTGTACGTCTTATGGTTTTATTCCCAGGCTTGAACATGGTGGCCCTGGTGAAGATCAATTTCGGGCAGCAGCTTCTCCACAGTTTCTGCCACTTGCGAGAAAGAAGGCCCATCCGTGAGGACTCTCTGAATGTTAATCGAGACAGTATGCGGTGCAGGACATCCTGCACATTCGTAGGTAGCATGTTACGGATTAATTACCGAGTAAACTGATTCATTACTAAGTAAAGAGTTCGCTCATTCTCTGGAATCATTTAGCAGATGTGTAAGTGTGAAAGGCACATTGAATTAATTGCTTACATCGGGCAGATGGTGAAGTTGCAGGGCTTCTGGCTTGGTCATGGGAACAGATTTATCTGGTATGAACATGCCAGATCATGAGAATACAAAGATGTAACTCCCAAAATAAGCATTGGGTAATGCCTTGCTTGGATGCCTCCCCCCTCCCCCAAAAAAAAAAAAAAGTACAGTTGAACCCAAAAAGCTTTTTTGGGAACAAACTGTAATTAGTACTGAGGTTAAGGCAAAGAGAAAAGCTTCTCAGATCTAGAACAGAACATAAGGTAAGACAGAAAAGGAGGATGTGCGTACAGGTGCTCACCGGCGACGAGAGGATGCAGCTGAAGGAAGCAGCACTGCTCGCGGGATGGAGATTGGTGCAGGTGGCTGGCGAAGTCGTCACGAGACAGGAGAGAGTCGAGGCAGAAGATGCATCAATACACCACCCAGAAGCCGTTTCGGTATTGGATATCAGAAAAGATACAGATCAAAATAATTTTCGATACGGCTTTGATACGGAATCGATCCTTCCCTCCGGAAAAAATCTCGATTTCGAACCCCAAAATTCTTCTCTTCACCAAAAAGAAGAAACAGAAAAACTCCTGACACACTAAAAAAAATCAAAGCTGCGACAAACTTTCCTGGTCGCGTCGGGGAGGAGCGGCGTCTATATTCTGAGAGCGTAAGGCTGCCGGTGAAGAGCCAATCCCAGTCTCCTGTCCTCTTCTCACTGCTCCACTTCCCTCCCGAGAGCTTCTTCCCCTCCCGGCTACCCTCAGTAGTCCTTCTCGATCTGGCCTGAAGGTCACCGGTGGCAATCCCCAGCCGCCAGATGCCACTCCTCCCCGACGCGACCAGGAAAGTTTGTCGCAGCTTTTTTTTTAGTGCGTCAGGAGTTTCTCTGTTTCTTCTTTTTGGTGAAGAGAAGAAAGAGAAGAACTTTGGGGTTCGAAATCGAGATTTTTTTTTCCAGAGGGAAAGATCGATTCCGTATCAAAGTCGTATCGAAAATTATTTTGATTTGTATCTTTTCTGATATCCAATACCGAAACGGCCGCTGGGTGGTGTACGGTGCATCTTCTGCCTCGACTCCTGTCTCGTGGCGACTTCGCCAGCCACCTGCACCGATCTCCATCCCACGAGCAGCGCTGCTTCCTTCAGCCGCATCCTCTCAACGCCAGTGAGCAACAGGCAAATCAACAAAATTATGGGGAATGTCAAAAAAATTCAAATTCAAGAGGAACAGGCAGTGGACAGATAAAGCAAGAAAGAAATTTACGAGAGAAGATCAGAGAGTATACCAGCACTTTCTTTGCGCTGCTGGGGATGCTTGACTGCTTGAGACGATGTCAGTTGTGGACGGCGGCACCCTCGGCCTCCACTGCCCCTGCCCGAATCTCAAAGCTTGGGAGGTGAGGCTGGGCAAGACCTGGTTACCACTGCCCGAGACTTCTAACTGCCTAAATAATTAGGAATTTCGGAATGTAGTCTCTAACAACAAATTGCCCTTAGTGGCAACACAAAAAAGGAGCTTATTGACCAAACAAAAGGAGTACCGAACAAAAGGACAAAATTAGGTACCTGAAATAAGGTGTACCATCAGAACAGTAAGAAAAAATTTGCATGGATTCAAAACCTCAAGCTTCTTTTCATCATCTAGCAAAATAATTGGAATATTCATAAATGAACAGTAATAAACTGAATTTCATGATCTTAGAGGACACAATTAATGCAGGTGTAAAGCATTCAGTTAAAAATATAATATGCTAAAAGGTTAAAGATTTTTTTTCCAGAGCATCTCACAGCAACACATTCTTATAAGACATGGCAACTCAGAGAAAATGGCTTCATATTAGCTTATCTGGTTTAAACTGTAATGGTGGCCTTAAATAAAGAGAGAATTCATTGACTTCATTCTATACCCCCTAAGTTTACTCTAGTTCAATGATTTGTCATCAACTTTGTCTCTCTCTGCAATATGCCACTGACTTTGACAATTTTTTCTACAATATGCCATTGGGGTGGATACTTTTCAAAAAATGCCTAAAATAACCTTCAAGCTATACAAGGGTTGCCAATCAATTGACTCATTATAAGTTTTGAAAAAAAAATTGAAAGTTTTAGTGTAGCCTTCTTATATACGATACAAAGTTTGTATGTATATTTTAAGATTTTCTTCAATGTTTTTTTTTTTGAAAAAATATTCTTATGTGGCATATGAAAGATGAATCATACATAAAATATAGCGAGATTAGAAAAATAATTTTGTGTAGCATATGAAAGATGATTTACATAAAAGAACTCAACGTTACAGTATTCCATTAGCATATGAAACATAAATTATATTTCCAAAAAAATTAATCCAAGCAAGAATAATTGAAGCATGAGTACCAAATGAAAATGATAAGCACCAAATCTGGATCAGCATGAGTACCAAATGGAAATTGATAATCAGTAGTTGATAATCAGACAGTTCCCTAGCCAGAGCACATTCTGTCAACTACTACCAAACAAATAATGTGCATGTAAAGTCCTACAAATACCAGGTTATTGTGTATGCTTGACCAATGAGAAGTTATTTAAATGAGAGGCACCTTAGCACTTAGCAGCTAGACAGCTGAACACATTTGGAACAAAGGCAGAAAGTGAGACACCTGAACAGAACAAATTGTTAAGCTATTTCTAAAATCTAGACCTCATATTTATCCATCCAAATGTTGTGCCTATTTACATTCTGAACTTTAAACTTATTATATACATATTCTGAAATATATACCATATGCTGAATCAGAATAACATAATGATCGCGCAGAGTGGGTAGCAAGCACAGTAAGAAATAGTGCAGAAGTTCAGAAGAGGACAACTGGCATTACCTTAATTGCATAGGATGTTGAGCAGCAGTGACCTGGAGCAGATGCTACGAGAAAATGTAAGCTGTTAAAACAATGACATTCAATTAGAAACCAAACTATCTGTTTTCCAATGGCTGAGATTATAAAGTGTACTGCATTTTTTATACAGAAATATTGTAGTCCTTATATCCAAAAGTTGGAGCTGCAATAGTTTAACCACAAATAAGTGTGTGACCTTAGGAATTAATGTACAATCAGTATAGTGCTGGCTAGTTTTAGCTAAATAAAATAATTTAGCTATGGAATATGCCATTTTTCACTACAGTTCCATTGGAGGTTGTTTAACAGAGTAAAAACAATCGATGCGAGATACTACACTAAACCGACCCCTGCAGCCGGCAGCTGTACACCGAGCCAACCAAATGAAATCAGATCAGAACCTCTGTCACTATTCATATTGGAAATTTCAGTTAGCCTTATTTACTTGAATAATATAAACAAGAGCTAATGGTATACTATACTATATGGGATCCAAATCGCTAGGCAATTAAACGTATCGTCAGAAAGCATCACCTTTTCATAGCCTGGCCACAGGCGTCAGTGCATAACAACATCTTCTCAACTTGAATGTATGCATCACATATCCACAGACAGGAAGCAAAAAGCAAATACCTGATGAAATCTTATCGGTCTTTTCCGGGTAATACCTCGATTTGGCATGCTGTACTTCTCCGCCAGGAAGCCAACGACGATGCAAGGACCCGGGCAGCGTAGAGGGGATGTTAGAGACGCGGCGGCAGTGAGTCCCCACGCGCCGGCGGGGCAGGGAAGGCCACCTCCGCAGATCGGCCTCAGCCCTCAGCGGCAGTGAGAGGGTTTCACCGATGGTGTGGGGAGGGGGAAGGAGCGGCGGCGGGACTGAGGGGGCGGTGGCGGCGCGGGACGGATCTGCGTGAGTCTAGGGTTTCGTCGGTAGTGGTAGTGGTGGCGGTGGCGGTGGCGGCGGGACTGAGGGGGCGGGGGCGGTGGCGGCGCGAGTCGTGGCGGGAGGGAAAGGAGCGTAGGGGAGACGGTCGTGAGGAGGGAGGGGCGCGCGCGGTTTGGGGGAGCGATCGAGGGGTAGGTCTGATGCACGAGTTTTCGCGGTCACCGGCGCGAGCGAACGAGAAACCATAAAAACCGGGAAAAAGTAAACGGAACGTCTCCCAACTTGTCATCAGGATAAAAAACATCATCGATCCGCAAAAGAGATCCTTTAACTATATAAAACCGGTCTTAATAGGTCCATTAGCGGTTTTGATCCCGGTTTTATCCTACGTGGCTGCTGAGTCATCGTGGGCCCTACCTGTCAACCTCCTATTTTTTCCCCTCCTCTCTCACTCTGGGCAGGCCGGCCGATTAGGTGGGGAGGAAGTCGGCGGCGGCGGCAGCCTCCTCTCCGTGCTCGCCGACGAGGAGGAGCGGCAGGCAACCACGGCGGCGGAGCTGGAGCCACATGCGCGGCCGGCAGAGACGCGGGGCGGGTGGAACGCGTTGGCGTCGGCTCAGGGAGCAAGGCGGCGGTGGAGGTGACGACGCGGTCGCAGGGGAGGGGCATCGGCGGCGGGGAGGGGAGCAAGGCAGCGGTAGCAGCCTCCTCTCCATGCTCGCCGACGAGGAGGAGCGGCGGGCGATCGCAGCGGCGGAGCTAGAGCCACACGCGTGGCCGGCGGAGGTACGTGCGTCATGGTAGCTAAGGGCTCCCATCGATCTTGTAACATCCCGGCCTAGAGTTTAATAGAATTAATAGAATACTCATATCAACAAGTTGCAACTTCTTTTTCGAAAGCCGATCTCCAAAGAACTCCAAGGTTAAGCGTGCTTGGCCTGGAGCAATTTAGGGATAAACTGTAGCATCACATAGGCTAATCATGGATTAATTAGGCTCAATAGATTCGTCTCGCGAATTAGTCCAAGATTATGAATGGGTTTTATTAATAATCTACGTTTAATATTTATAATTAGTGTCCAAACATTCGATGTGATAGGGATTTAAAAGATTTAGTCTCGTCTAAACAGGTCTAAGTGCGTATGACCGTGCGTCGAGTGTAAAATTGGAAGATTTTAGTCGATTGATCTATACATATAAATCTTCGGGAGACACTAGCGAGCGTACCATCTTCAGCTTGCCCGTATTTCGGCTGGTGGCGTTGAGCTCCTTTCGGATATTATCCAGATCGAACTGCACTGCATGCAGGGACGAGAATGCTGCAAGCCAGATAGATGTACCGTAGATGACCTCGTCGACAATATCGACGGACCGCAACGACCGGTGCGGAAGAGGTTGATATCAAGCATCGTCGTGTGATGAGGTGGAGCAGCGCCGACGGACGACTTTCGGTTGGCAAAGTACAACGACCGGCGGCGCACGGTAGGGTTATGGGAGTTCTCCGAGGCTCGATATATATAGGAAAAAGTACACCGAAAGTCCCTCAACTTATCATCGAGTTACAAAATCGTCACTGTCATACCCAGCAGTAATCGGTTAAGCTCGGCGGAATCCACCATTTACCAAGTCTTAATATGGGATAAGCCACAAGACCAACAAGACCCACGCCGCCAAATATCGATAGATGATAGAGATTAGCCTAGACATACCCCATCCCGTGCCTATGAAAAGCCGGCAAGAGAGATCTAGCACAATCTCTGATCTCTTATTATACTTGTGTGATCTAGATGGATAAAGAGAACACCGGCTTCGGCTAACAGGATATAGGGCTATTACCTGTCAAATAAGGGGCCCTAACCTGTATAAAAATCTATGTCTCCATCTCTTTTACCTCAATCTCACATATACCCTAGTATCGACAATCCCCATACCATCTAAATAACTTAGTCGCGGTACCACCCGTCGACAGTCTCCCAACCACAAAACCAAATATATGATATCCCTCAACTTAAAAAACCGTCCACTTTAGGTCCTTTGATGGTTTTGACCCCGGTTTTATCCGACGTGGCGGCTGAGTCAGCATGGGACCCACGTGGAGCCCATATATCAGGAATCAGGATGCCATCATCACCCCCTCTCTCTCCCTTTCTCTCTCTCACTTTTTCTCGTCTCGCAGGCCAGCCGATGGGGCGAGGCAGGAGAGAAGTAGGTTTGCATGGTTTTAATTACATGAGGAGTAAAGATTTCTGATATTAGAGATTAGGATGTCATGCAAACTCGATGTAAAATTCAGGGATGGTAAGTGAACTTATTCCAGTCAGAATCAATACTGGTTGCGGCCGTGAAGGCCACATGGTATCAGCCACAGTTCACAGTGGTCTACAGGACTAGTTCCACAGGACTTCAAACTCTCATGTTCTTCATGGGCTGCTGCCTGAAAGAAAGTCCGGTTTATTATTGCCGGTAGCCATATGCCGCATAATTTCATCATAAAAATCTCATCTAATTAAGCTCAATTTCATTGTCGCGCTAACAGTAACTAGAAAAGTGCAGTATTGTTGTTGGTTTGTGTAACATTTGGCAGGGCCACAGGATATTGTGTAGGCCATTGTTATGTTTGGTTGAGTGCAACACTGGTGTTTAAGATTTGACCAGCTTAGCCCTGGTGTTTAGTTCGTGCCATAATTATCGTATGCTATACGTTTTAAGATATATCAAGTACACTCGTAAAAAGCTCATTTTACCACAACTTATTACAAGTGTGACCAACAAATCACATATAATTATATAAACTTTTGTAGAAAAGTGAGATTAATTGTCTTCTCTCTCCCTTTTTTTAGAACTAGATTATCTTCCAAACAACCCCTTAATCTGAAGTCGCTAGCCATCCTGATCTCATGCAACTACCGTGGAGGACAGAGAATGGGTGGGGTTCCAGACTATTGGCTCCTACCCGTACAGATACAATGATATCATCATCATACCGGTACTCAAGCAAAATACTCCATCCGTCCCAAAATATAAGAACATATGACGGGGATGAAACATACATTTTTTAATACTATGAACCTAAACAGAAATGTCTCGTTTAGTCCTATGTTTTTATATTTTAAGATGGAGAGAGTACAGTACTACTTCTTCCATTCTAAAATATATTAATATAGTACTGAACTGAACACAATCGAATCGAGTACTACAAATTTAGATAAACTCTTTGTTTAAATTGTTATATTTTAAGACTAGAAGTACAATGCTTCATCTAAATATTAATCTAAGAAATACATTACTCTCCATACTATGAATCTACTATCATCTACGGTGCACGACAATGACTCCAATCGACATAAACTGGACCATACATTAGACATTATGCTCCATGATTTGAGGCCTTCACTGTACACGCCACGCCAGCTATATATACATATATACACGGTACACGCCTCCATGGACCATTGCCGATCAATCATATGCGTGCATAGGAATAAGATAACTAAGTCTGATCAGTGAGAGTAGAAGACAGTGACTCGTCACTGAATACGCATACCAACATCTAGTAGAGAACAAAAAAAATAAACAGATAAAATACGCATACCAGCTAATCCGAGTAGCTAGTCCTGTTTACCCTAAAATTCAGGGTAATCAACACGCCGTCACATACGGAGTAGGAGTACTCCAGTATATTACACTCACGCACCGTAGCATCAGTTGATAATTAACTGCGTGTGGACAAACCGAGACGCATTGTTGTAACCAGAAGCGCGCAGTAGTAGATGATCAGGCCGTGGTTTTTTACCTTTTCAACCGCACAATCCGGCACGTTTTCCTTAAACCGCGGTAGCCAGCTGGAGTGGTACGTGCCTGCTACTACCTGCCAAGCGTCGGCGAGTGCGGACACACAAGCAACAGGAGAGGAGTGGTCGAAATCTACGTGCAGCCCCGCACAAAGACAGCGGATCCATTAAAACGCGACGCGTCCACGTCGCTCGCGGGTGCGCATCGGTCGCCGTCGCCCCGCCACCGAAGAAAAATCCAACCCCCCGCCCACCCGGGCGGCGCTTGCAGCTTTCGGCCGCGCGACGACGCGATCACATCGAAAAGCGCCCGCAACCTCACGAAACTTTGCGCGGGCGCGCGACGGCGGCACGGCGCGCGAGACGTACGCACGCAAAGTGCGCGCGCGCGGGAGTTTGAACCCTGAGCGCGACCGGTGGTTTTTTGTCGCGTACACCGGCGTCACGGGGACAGGGACGTGACTAGCTCCAGGCAGCGCGCGCGTCCGCGTCCGCGTCGTCGTCGTCGATCGATCGAGCTAGCGACCGGCGGCGCGCGGCCAGCGACGACGCGCGCGCGCACGCACGGTGTGAAAGGCCGGCTTGACCCTATCTGAGCCTTTACGACCGGTGCGGGCGGATTTGCTTCCGTCCCCGAAACTCGTTTGGTGCGCGGCTAGCTTTCCCGGAGGAGAAAAAACGGTTACGCGCGTTCACTTGACTATGGCAAAGTGATCAGATATCGGGATATGCAAAGCAAAGCGACGTAGTTTCATTCTTTGCTGAGATCGGAGGGAAAAGTGGCAAGAGATGACCTGAACCGGGCAAAGAACGTGTGCTTGTGAGATTTATTAGTGCCTTGGCAGGACAGAATTATGGTGTTCCTTTCCTTTATCCGGGCTATAGGCTACGTGAACGTGATCCACGCTTCCCGAGCAGAGAGCAGCTCGAGATTCACGTCCCGACAGATTAGAATGGTTACAAAAAAAACTCAGCTGTTGACCCAAGGCTGGGTTTTGCACGTCATTTGGGTCCTCAAAGTCACGGCACAATCATTTTCAGACCCCCTGGCCCGTCACTCGGGCTAGCTAAGCTAGCCGCGCACGTGTAAAAGTAGCTTTCACTGGTGGAGAAACCATCTTTCGTCGGTCGGCCGATTTCCACAATAGTGCCGGATGCAATAAAAACCGGGGCTAAAGATGATCTTTAGTCCCGGTTCAAAAGGGTAACGGGCATATTTGATCTTTAGTCCCGGTTTGTGCTACCAACCGGGACTAAAGTTAAAGCACCAACCGGGACTACTAAAGTTAAGATCTTTAGCCCCGGTTGGTGCTACCAACCGGGACTAAAGATCTTAACTTTAGTCCCGGTTGGTAATACCAACCGGGACTAATGATCCCGGTGA